GATGAGGCTTTCTGCTCCTGCAAAGATTTACAGCCTCGGAAACCCTATACAGGGTAGCTATGGGTCGGAACCGACTCCACAACACACAGCAGCAGCAGACACAAGCCATGGTATTTTCAATAACCTCATATGCATGTGAAAGCTGGACAGTGACTAAGGAAGACCATAAAAGAATTGATGCTTTTGAGTCATAGTGTTGGAGGAGAATATTGAAAGTGCCATGTGCTGCCCAAAAAACCAACAGATTTGTGTTGGAAGAAGTGCAGCCAGAATGCTCATTGGAGGCCAGGATGGCCACACTTCGTCTCTCATACTTTGGACATATTGACAGTAGGGACCAGTTTCTGGAGAAGGAAATCATGTTTGGTAAGGTGGGGAGGGTCCAAGACAAACAGGAAGACCCCACAGAGAGATGGATTGGCAAAATGGCAGCATCAGTAGGCTCAGCGTGGCAACAAGTGTGAGTTTGGCCCAGGACCAGGCAGTGTTTCATTGTGTTGTGCATAGTGTAGCTATGAGTCATTACCAACTCAATGGCACCTAACAACAACAACCACAATGTACCAGGCACTGGTATTGTCTTAGTTACTGAGTAGGAGTCTTTAACAAACAGAAATGTATTTTCTCATAGTCCAGGACTTTAGAAGTCCAAATTCAAGGTGCCATCTCTACGAGAATGTTTCCTCCTGCTGTCGGCTCTAGGGAAGGCTCTTGTCTCCTCTGTCCATTGATTCTTTGGAGATCTTCATGTGTCATCTCTCTTCCCCCACCTCTGCTTGCTTTTCTATGTTAACCTGTTTTTTGTTTGCTTGTTTTTAAGTTTTTTATTGTGAATTGAGTGAACGTTAACAGGGTAGATCATCAGTTTTACATTCAACAAATCATATACTTTGTTTCATTACAATGATTATAATCCCCACCAGGTACAGTATTTCTCACTACTCATTTTAGCTCTTTTTTTTTTTTAAACACTCAGGCATATATAATAATTTACCACCACCAAAGAGCACATTCTGCAAGTCTGCCTCTTGGCCACCAGCTTTCAGTCCCTCTCTTTCCATGAGTCTAGAGTCCTCAGCTGTTCCCTCTCTCCATGTCCCCATCTCTGCCTCCATCTCTGGTGTTGCTGCTTCTCTGGATAAGGTCTCATATTCCACTTGTGCTCTTCTCCCCTGATGATCCTAGGGTCCATTGTTTCTGGACTGTAAGATTAACTACTCCCCTATTTTTGTTACAAAACTTCTACCTTTACAATTGTGACAGTCTCAATTAATCATGATATGTTAATTTGTTCTTATATCTCAAAGGTGGTTGACTTAAAACACACCCTACACTGATCTTGCCTCTTAACATAACAAAGAAAACCTTGTTTCCAAATGGGATTCCATGCACAGATAGACGGGTTAGGATTGACAATAAATATTTGGGGCATCAAGGAAAAAGTCACTATGGTGGTCCTGAAGAGCTCAGTTTAGCAGGAGACATGCCCATAAAGAAATACATTGCTATACAGGATCACAAGTACTTAAATGGGACCCTATACCATCATCCTCTGTTAGCATATTTTTCTTTGAAGTCCTGCTGTGGCACTGTAGAATAAACACTTGACTTCTAGCTGCTAGGTCATTGGCTCAAACACATCAGCCACTCCACTCCTCAGAAACCCTATACAGGGTGCCTGTGAGTTGGGAATCAATTCCACAACACTTGATACCAGGTAGATAAGTCACCTGTAGGAGAGGATGCTACAGTTTAAAGGATGAATAGATGTTCTGTAGGAAAGATGTTCTTGGTAGAGGGAATCATGTTAGATTCAGCATGCTAGATTCAGGGATTCTGATAGTTACAATAGTAAAGGTACAGAAGGGTGGGCTCTAGCCAGAGGCAAAGTTAGGGTCATGGTAGACTGAGATAAGGGGGCCTTGTGTTCCAGCTAAGGGGTTTAGACTTTATTCAGAGAGCACAGGGGTAGCTATTTGTTGCAGACTGTGTAGGCCTGGTCAGAGGTTCAAGGCCCTATAGGCCTGAGTGTAACAGATCTAGCCACTTGACAGTTAATGGCAAATTGTTTTTCATCTTAATATCTGGTTATGTTTTATTAATTACAAATATGAGCCTTTATTATCCACAGAGAAATATTAGAACCTCCTAAAGCCGAGACTAAAGGTTTCAAAGGTCAAGCCTTTCTCCAAAGGATTAACTAAAAATATCTTAGCTACTTCACAGTTCTTTGTTCTACAGACAAAAAAGCCATCCACCCTGAATCTCTCCCAAGTGTTAGCTACTCAGCCAAGTTCCTGAAAACCTGGCTCAGGAAGCCGAAACAGAGGGACTCCACCCAAGCTTTTGTCCTTGCCTCTCACCTTCCCCAATCTGAGCTCAGGGGCTATAGATATGTTAATTGAGCCTGAGAAACCAAGTTGCGGGCCTGGGATTCGAATCAGCGAAGTATGATGTAAAGTTGCCTGAATGTCTGGAAAAGTAAGATTGACAGCTGTACCTTGTCTTGGTCCCTCCCAGCTTGGTGTGAAGCTCCTCCCCTAAATAAAACAGAGGCCAGGGCCTGCCCGAGTGTGCATTACGGGTTGGAGGGCATGCAGTAAAGATGGCAGGGCAGTGAGTTGCTGCCTGCAGAGGCCACGATGCCTGTAGCCCCAAGTCTGCCCACCAGTGATGCATCCACCCTGGTTTCTGGGTGCCTCCTTGTCCCCCTCCTTCTGTCTGTCTGTGTATTCTTTCACTATCTCTATCGCCGCTGGATCTCCCCTCCTTGTGAACCAAACATTTGTGAACAACACAACTATGTCGAGGTCAGACCCTGACAGCTATTGAAGCTTCCAGACAGAGGAGTAACTCATGTTCTAGAAAGATCACTCTGAGACTGTGAGGGGAATGGGAAAGGTGGTGGCAGGACATGGGTACAGTTAAGATACTATTGCAAGAGTCTGTGTCTGTTGACCATGTCCATTGAAAGGGACCACAAGAGGTCCTGGATAGAGTGGGAGAGAAATATGGAACAAAACTCAAAATCATAAAAATGATCAGGTCTACTGGTCTGATGGAGACCGGTAGAACCCCAGAGACTATGGCCTTTAGTCACCCCTCAGGCATAGAACTGAACTAAACCCCTCAGCTCAATGTTCAGCCCAATGATAGGTCTACAAGGTGAACACTAACCCCAGAAAGGCCCACAGTCCTTCAAACAACCAACCCTCTGAGATCAAAAGAGCAGCATTTGCCCAGTGATAAAGCTCAGAAGGTAGGAAAGGCCAGGAAAGATTAATGAAAGCAGGAGACACCGGGAGGAAGTGGAAAGAATGCTGTTAAGTTGTAGGGATCGCAATCAATGGCACAAAGTATGTAGAAATTGGTGAGTGGAGAACCAATTTGCTCTATAAACTGGCACCCAAATCACAATAAAAAGTTGAAAATGAATAAATGAATGTGTGCTTCTAAAATAACAATAAAGAATCTATGACTGCTTAGTGGCACATGTGACCCAGCCAGCATCAGCTCTCCACCTCCTCTCCTTTCCACAGGCTGGGTGGCTTCAGGCACACTGTAATGCTCTGTAGTAAGAACTTGATTTGGCATAAGATCCATGATCCCAACTGTACTTGGTGATTATTTTGTCTGTCTCATCATGGTCCCAGAGAGTATTATTTATGGAAAGGACTGAACTTGTCTACCGCTTGTAGAATGTATGATCGAGAAGTCTACTGAAACAAAAGGCAGCCTTGCAGATTAAAGAGCAAGATCATAGAGTTATTGCAAAATCCATTCACCTCACTTGGTAGGGAGTTAGAAAACCAGCTCAGCCTGTGAGACGACCCCTTTTTCCCCTTGTGGAAGATAAACATGTCTGAGCATTCAGAGATGAGCCCCTTGGGGGCACTGAACGGGCTCAAATGGAACAGCAAGAGCTCCTTTGAGGCTACACTTGACATCACCCCGTGGTCCTGTTAGACTAGTAAGACATTTTATAAAATGTGCCACCTTCTTTGAACAGCTCCCAAAAAAGAATGTTAGAGGCTTCCCTCAGAAAACCTCAAAGGGCTTTGTGAACGAGAGTGTGTAAGGGGGTCCCTTCCCACAGTTCATACCTCCAATACCCTTCTATTGAACAGCTAAGTGCCAAGTGCAGCTCAGAGTCAAAAGTACATAATGAAATGCTGAGTCCTTCTCTGTGAACCTGGATGGAAAAAGCAGACCAGACAGAATGTTGCCTGAATTGGCCTAAGAGCACTACTCAGACTGAAGTCGAGCAGCATTATGTGCAAATGTGCTGCCTAAAGTGAATTAAAGTACCTCTTGAGTCGTGCAAGTGGCAGGACCTGCTGGGAAATGGAAGTCCTCCCCACTAAGGAGCAGCCTGTGTCTTCAGACCCCATGACCTTCCCCTCCATGGCGCCACCAGGGAAACTCCATTGGTCTTGAATCTTCACTGATGGGTCAAATATGACTGTCTTTGGAAGTGGTCTAGGTGGCTGGTACTGGACACGTACTACATGTCAGTGTCCACCTCAGAGCATCATCTGGCTCTATTCTCACAACACAGTGAGATGTATGTGCTCTCCCTGCTGCTACAAGTGAGGAAGACATCCCAGGGAGCTCTGCAAATGGTTCCCAAGACACACAGGTAGAAAAGAGCTCTTGTCCCATTATGGCAAGCGCCACAATGCCTGTAGAGGCCACGGAGTTAGCCAGACCTGAGTCCCTGGTAGCCACTGAGTGGTGTTGGGCATCTTAGACTCTGAGCCACCCTGAGCCTCTTTCTCAGTGTCATGATTTCACATAGGGCTTTGAGAATGCACTGACCTTACACATGGAAAATGCTGGATGTATGGGACTGGGGCTTAACCAGCGGTAGTTGCCTCTCCTCAGCCCTTCTTTGGGGGTCACCCTTGGAAGGGGGATCATCTTCAGAGAGTCGACAGCCTAGGCCCCAGTAAAATGGCCAAAGGCCACCTGCATTCAGCAGCATCTTCCTCTCCCCACAGGAAAGCACCTGGCCATACCTGTTTGGAGTGATTGTTGTCCCCGCCATTGTCCAGCTGGTGAGCCTGCCCTTTCTCCCCGAGAGCCCACGCTACCTGTTTTTTGAGAAGCATGATGAGGAGGGGGCAATGAAAGGTAAGTGTCTTTTCCCTCCCGCATAAAGTCAGTGCTGTAGGACTTGCAGGGACCGGAGCTGATGGGAAGAAGGAAGGGCTAAACACTATAGGATATTTTATCTCATTTACCCTTCCCAACAGCCCTGCTATGGGTGGCTCAGAGAGGGAACACCAGGTAGCACAGAGAGTCTGGGACTGAACCAGGATGAGAACCATATATCCTCACTTCATGGAGTCTCCAGGCTAAGCACTTGGCTACTAACTGAAAGGTTGGCCACCTCAGAAGACCATCCTAGTGATCTGCTTCTAAAAGGTCCTAGCCACTGACAACCCTACGGAGCACAGTTCTCCTGTGACATACATGGGGCGGCCATGAGTTGAAATTGACTCAAAAGCAGCTGGTTTGGACTTTTGTTTTCATCCTCACTTCCAAGCAATTATCTTCCCTGTCGTTGCTTCTCTGACTGGTCCCAGCCACAGAGAGAAGGATGCAGCTCCCCAATGGTTTAGGTGACCCCAGATCCATATCCCTGACCCCTGACTCTTCTTCATTGACCAGTTCTTCCCCCAGGCACAGGCTGGTTGCTTCTGTGAGATAACCCCCTAGAATGATCCAGTTGGCTCTGTGAGGGAGGTAGAAGTCATCCCATTTTACAGCAGAGGAAGCTGAAGCTCGCTGTAAGGCTTGGGGATTTCTTAGGTGACTTTCCTTAAAGTTCCTGGATGGCAAACTGGCAGGTCAGATCCCAAGCACAGCTTTCAGAAGCAGAGCCTTTCTTCAGACCCCCTAAGAAAGCATCTTACCCAGAAAGCGATGATGTAGAACAAACAACAGCCCCTCCCATCTCTGTTTTATAAAGCAAGGTACAGCTGACAGCATTGTGGGGGAGAGCTTGAGGGGTTGGGACAAACCAGCTGCTCCCTTCACATCTGATCTCTGCCATTTGATTTTGAGCAGGTCCCTTAGTCTTCCTGAACCTCACAGCCCTCTTCTGTAAAAAAGGCAATTATTTAAACCTCCCTCGTAGGGTTGTCCTAGGCTTAAAGGTGAGGGTGTGTAAAGTGCATATAGGAAGCATGGGTGGTTCCACAGTAGAATTCACAGTAGAATGCCAGAGTGAAGCACCCAAGCTAAGATTGAAAGAAAGGCCTGGTGATTGACTGCCAAAATTCAGCCAGTGGACATCCTATGGATGGCAACAGGCCATTGCTATTGTGTATAAAGTCACCATGAGTGGACCCACTCGATTCAGTTAAAAAGAACAACACATGAAGTACTTAGCATGGTCTGCTATCATTATCACTGAGGAATCTGTCTCATTTTGTACCCATATATTGACATCAAATCTAAATTTCACTAATGCCCAAATCCAAGAAAAAATTGAGAATTATATATATATAGTCTTTAGATCAAATATCTTATAATCCAAACTGCCAACGTATTTTCAGAATTAATAATGACATCTTGTCAAGAGGGACCAGTCTCTGGAGAAGGATATCATTTTTGGTAAGGTAGAGGATCAGAGAAAAAGAGGAAGACCCCCAATGAGATGGATTGGCAAAGTGGCTGCAGCGATGGGCTCAAATGTAGCAACGATTGTGAGGTTGGTCCAGGACTGGGCAGTGTTTCGTTCTGTTGTGCATAGGGTCTCTGTGATGTGGTAGGGTCTCTGTGATGTGGTACTGACTCGATGGCACCTAACAACAACAAATGGGCAAAATACTGAATGACATAGAATGCATCAAAAGAAGATGGAAAGAATACACAGTCTCTGTATCAAAAAGAAATGGTAGATGCTCATCCATTTCAAGAGAAAGCATATGATCAAGAACCAGTGGTATGGAAAGAAGAAGTTGAATATGCTCTGAGGGCATTGGCAAAGAAGAAGACTCCCAAAATTGATGGAATACAATCTGAAATCTTTTGATAAATTGAAACAACACTTGAGGCACTCACTCACATATGCCAAGAAATTTGGGAGACAGCTACCTGGCTGACTGATTGGAAGAGATCCATATTTGTGCCCATTCCAAAGAGAGGTGAGCATACAGAAAGTGGAAATCACCAGACAATAACCAACTCGACAGCATCTAACAACAGCGGTAGGTCAGGGGAAGGTAATAAGCTCAGGTGATTGATCATTCTGTTTTGTTGAGCAATGAGTTATTGCAGGTTGGGTTCTCCCAAAAGCAGATGCTGAGAAAGAATGTAGAGTTCTGGAGTTTCACAGAAGGGATGGAGAAAACACCTGGAAAAGGACACAGGCTGGGTCAGGGGGAACCCAGACCATGGCTGCCTGCAAAGTCTCTGCAAGTCCAGGGAGACAGGCTGGAGCCATGCTGGATGCTACAGAAGTCCCGTCTACCATCACCATGCTCAGTCAGCCTGGGGACCACTCTGAGAACAGCCTCACCTGAGGTGACCTAACAAGGCTGGAGGCTGTCAGCTACCACAGTCTTGCAGCCAGGAGCAAGTCCTTTGCAGAAGGGCATCTGAGTGCCGTATCTCAAGTCTACCATGCTAGTCATACCACAAGATACTCCTCACCCACCTTAGAAAAATGAGGGTGAGGAGAGTAGAAACGCATTTTTTTTTAACCTTTTTATTGTGAATTGAGTGAAGGTTTACAGAGCGAATCATCCATTTTACATCCAGTGAACATACAGTTGATTTCATCTCAATGATTGCAATCCCCACCAGGTAACATCAGTTATCCCACTTCCTCCCTGTGGGTCTTGTTTCTATTCCGCCCTCCTTCCCAACCCTTCTGAACGTTGTCCTTAGGTCAGTGCCGCCCTTTTGATCTTGAATGGTGGACCATTCCATGGTGAGCATACTACACTAGGAAACACATTCTTTTCATAAACGCCAATATGGGTAGTTATTAGGTGCCGCTGAATTGGTGTATGATAGAATGCAACCTATATTTATGTATAGACATAAAACCAAACGGCCACCACTCGTCTGTCTGTCGTGCTGTGGTGGTTTGAGTTGCTGTGATTCTGAGGGCTATGCCACCGGTGTTTTAAATAACCAGCAGGGTCACCCATGGTGGAAAGG